GGCAGGGTTTAATGTAGAAAGACTAGTGTTGTCAGAATGTATTTTCTAGGCCAGGCCTAGTGGCTCACCCCTGTAATCCCAGCACTTTGGGAGGCTGAGGCAAGTGGATCACTTGAGGCCAGGAGTTCAAGACCAGCCTGGCCAACATGGTAAAACCCCCCTCTCTACTAAAACTACAAAAATTAGCCAGGCTTGGCGATACATGCCTATAATCCCAGCTGCTTGGGAGGCTAAGGCACCAGAATCACTTGAACCTGGGAAGCAGAAGTTGCAGTGAGGTGAGATCGTGCCACTGCATTCCAGCCTGCAGGACAGAGGGAGTCTGTCTAAAAAAAAGAAGACAGTATTTTCTAGTAGTCGACCCCAAAATCCAACTGCCTCATATAGTTACATCTTGTTTGTTTTTTTTGTTCACACGATTGAATTAAGTTCAGTCAACTTTTTTCTGGAAATGTTTCAGGTATGTCTTTTTTGAAGCTTTGAAAAAACTTTGAAACTTTGATCTGTTTTACTGGTGTTTGTGTTTTGTTTTGGGATTTTTTGACTCTCAGGTTTATTGTAGAAAGAGAACTTTCTGTGTCAGTTCAATCAGTCTTTGCTATCCAGTATCTGATGTTCCAACCAACATATGTGCAAACTGATATAGATCAGGTACTCCTGGGTCTTAGACATCCCCCCAAATTCCAAATTATTCTATGACTACTTGCTCTTTGTTTTGAGTTTAGAGAAATCTTCAGTGATAGTTCTTAATTCATCTTGGATCCAAGGTTTAAATTCTACAGTTGCCTACGTACCTAGCTCATGGGAGGGATGCATCCTCAGAAGCAAATGGCATTTTGGGTTTTAAGAGGACTGTTGGAGAAGACAGGGGGTCTACCTGAGGGGAAGGCAAAAAAACGAGCTGCAGAAAAAGAAAGATCAGCACAATAAAGGAGAAGAAGAAAAACTGAACATAGAGAGACAACTGGAAACCACGAAAGAGCAGGAGTAGGATCTACCAAGGAAATGATTGTACTTTGTTGTTGTTTAAGTCTTCAGGTTGCTCATTTGCTTTAACCAAAGAATCTTAGAGTCAAGCAATTTTAGAACTGAGATTCATTTACAGACCTTTGCATACCGATTCAAAAATTATCCATTGCATCTGAGAAATCATTTTCTCTTTCTTTTCTAAGGAGCTTCTCAGCTAAATTTTTAAGTCCAGTGTTGCCCAGCATGGCCATTGAAGGCCCAGATCATAATCTTTGGTGAAATTATGCCATTTGGAGAAGTGGGGACTAGAATTAGAATTGTAATAAGTGTACATGTAAGAAAAATGAGTTTTTCCTGGAGGAGTAGAAAAAACTGACTTAAATAACCTCATATGAGATGGCCACAGTTAAAAGCAAAGTTTGTGTACTTTGCATCTCGAGCCTCGCACCTTGATGATGAGCTGCCTCTGAATGCATACCTGACAACCTGTCTCCCCGGGCAGGTGTAACACCAGAGAGAATGCTCTCTTTGGATCAAAACCAAACTCTCAGAACAAAAATCTAGATGAGAGGATAATCTTATCTAGCTTTATTGGTAACTCACAGCAAAGTTTCTCCTAATTAATGTCAGTCAAATGAGAACTGCACTGGTCTGGGAGGCCAGCTCAAATTAAAGGCCTATAGGCGCTATGCATGTGCCGTACTGTGTTCCAGACAGCATAATGTGGAACAGAAGCAGAAAAGAGAGAAAGCAGGGATGAAAAGGAGTAGCCTGACTCCACCAAATATGCCAATCAAATGGGAACTGATAACAAAATCTGGGTACCAAAGTGAGACTAGATAGCCAAAGAACTCAAAATCAAAGAAGAGAGTTCAGAAGCAGTGCTGACCCAACTAGTCAATGCAGACTCAACGAGCCGCATGCAGCAAGGCACAAGAAGCCTTTGTGGGTACTGCACCTGGCAGAGAACTGGGATCCACGGTAACAGGCAGTGCAGACAGTATGTCCACGGAACATTTAAGAAAACTACAGAAACAAGATCACACAAATGAAAACAAACAGAGGCTAATTATTCAGAGCTTGTTCTGGCAAAGGAGTTGGCCACCATCACTTCTGTTTGGTACAGACTCAAGGCAGGTAGGGGAGTAAGGAAACCTCATAGCAATAAAAAGGGGAAGGTTTCAGGTATGCTCTGATTGGATCTTGCTGTTGGAAGCTGGAGGCAGGCTAGGTAGGAGCAGGGCGTTTTGTGGTTTGAGAAAAATATTTGACTTTCTCTGATTGATCCTAAATTGGAAGCAAGGGCAAAACATTGAGAAATAGACTCATTGACCAAGTCCTAATTCTTTTGGGCCATTTGCTACAGCAGCTATAGCTTGACTTCCTGGACTGGTTGCTGCGAAAGCTGTGGTTTGGCTTCCTGAGCTGATTGCTGCAGAAATTGTGAGTCAGAGTTGTACTACTGTTTATGGTCTGGCCATTGCCCATTTGCATATTCAGTCTCTCACAGTAGAATCCTGACATTGTAGATATTTAGAGAAAAAGAGTAGAAGGACGGTCACCAGAGGCTGGGAAGGGTATTGGGAGAGTTGGGAAAGGGAGGTGGGGATGGTTAATGGATGCAAAAAAAAAAAAAATGGAATGAATAAGGTGTAGTATTTGATTGCACAATAAGCTATAGTCAACAATAATTTAATTGTAAATTTTAAAAGCATGAAAAAAGTATAATTGGATTGTTTGTAACACTCTGGATAAATGCTTGAAGTGATGGATACCCCAATTTCCATGATGTGATTATTATGCATTGCATGCCTATATCAAAATATTTCATATACTCCATACATATATATCTCTACTATATACCCATGAAAAATTAAAAATAAAATTCCTTTAAAAAAGAAAAAGAAAAAAACCACCTGCCTAATGGACCATATTTTATTTTTCAGCTATTGAATGAACAGCCACACCGTAACAATATTTGTTCACTCAATGCTCTAAACTTTTTAATGTACTTTCAGATACATTATTCCCTCTTTTATTATTACAACAACCTTGTGATCCTGAGAGGTTAATTACTTAAGGTCACTGAATGACTTTTGGCTAGAATAAGGATTACATAATATTACGGAATGATTTGCAATATATAACTCAAATTGTCAGGTATAGTTACGTACAAATGGCTTTCAAATAAATATTTTGGGTGTCATACTATGACGAAGGATCTGGTCCAATTGCTTCTACTAGTTCAGTTGCTTAAAGGTGAGATAAAATCTTGAAGGAACGACCATAGCTCCCTTCAAATACCTACAAGTCTGTCATGTGGAAGAAGGATTAGGTTTATTCCTACGACTCTAGAAGACAGAACTAGTACTTGTGAGTGGGAGAGAGGCAGATTTCAACAAAGAATATGAAATATCTTTCTAATAATGAGACGCTTGCCCCCCAAAAGAAGGCATCGCCTTGTGAAAGAGCCAGTTCCTCATCTCTTATAGTGTTTACATAGAACTCTATAATCCTACACCTTCAGAGAGTCCTTGAACTGGTCACACCAGCTAATCTCCAGGACCTTCATAAATTTCAAGTTTATGAAATTTTGTTGAACTTTGAAAAGATGCATAGATATTTTCAATACAGCAGTTTAAAGTCATTCAAATTCTGGATGAAATTAGTATGTTATGCTCCTCAAAAACAATGTGTTCAATTTTAAGTTTTACTCCCAGACTCTTCTTTGAATTAGTATTTTTGCCCATATGCCCACACATTTTCAAGAACATTTCCTTTCTTCCTTCCTTCCTTCCTTCCTTTCTTCTTTCCATCCATCCTTCCTTCCTTCCTTCCAAGACAGGGTCCTGCTCTGTCACTCAGGCTGAGGTGCAGTGGAGTAACCATAGCTCATTCCAGTCTCAATCTCCCAGTCTCAAGCAATCCTCCCACCTCAGCCTCCCAAGTAGCTAGGAATACAGGCATGCACCACAACGCCCAGCTATTTTTTTTTAATTATTTTTTTGGTAGAGATGGGGTTTCACCATGTTGCCCAGACTGGCCATGAACCCCTGGCCTCAAGCTATCCTGCCTCCCACCTCAGCTTCCCAAAGTGCTGGGATTAGCATGAGCCACTACACCTGGCCAAGAACATTTAAAACTTCGAAAATGAAAATTGCCCTAATACGGAGTCATCTAACTTAATCTTTCATCAGCACTGTTTTCTGATTTCACAGAAAACTTTACAGCAAATGTATTACATTCATTCTTGATGTTTTAAGAAATTAAAGGAATTAGACAAGGTAAAAACAAAAAATCCATCTTTTTAAAGATGGTAAGTACTATGATTTTAATCTGTAATCTTAAATTTTTGAACAAGATCTCTTTCTTCTTAGTAGCTTCTTTTTAAATGGTCCTTCAGGTGGAACACAATTGTATTCTTTTTCTAGTATACAAGTAACGAAGCTGAAGTAAAACGGTGAGTTCTCTTCCACACCTAAATTGCGATTGTTCAATGTTCATTCTCACCCTGCTCCTTATCTGACTTTTAAACTCTTTAAATCTAATCCCCTGATTTTTTACCGGAAGGGTATTTCCTTTTTATGATGGGCTGTGGTTTCTGCCTTTAAGAAAGCAATTTAGAATCCTGGGGATTCTCCTGGAATCTAGAAGAAGTCACTGAAATGGTAAAGTAGGCAGGAGGCTGGGTTGGAAAGAAATGCCTTCTGCATAAATCTAGTTAGTCTGAGTCTTTTTTGACAACTTCCGGGACCAGACTTCAGGCAGTGCTGGAAATTGTTCTCTTTACCATATCTTTTTTTTCTTTACTGTACATATTTACATACATACACATATGGTGAGGGAGAGAACGTGGTGACGTGAGACTCTCCTTGGAGAGTAGGAGGTAATAAAGAAATAAAACAGGTGTCTGAGGAGAGGTTCTACTAGAGGAGAATAGAGAGTAACCATCGTTCAGACAGGCAAGAGTTCTCTGCAGGTAGCAGTCTGGGAAAGTGAACTCGCTCACCCTCTTGGGGACGGGCTCTTTTGCTTTCTATTTCTTCTCCTGCAGCCAGGGTGCACGCGTATTTGAAACAGACCGAATTTCCTCTTCCATGTGGGATCACGTTGACTTTTCGAGACTATTGGATATTTCTTTATAATGACTCCAGTGCCTTTTTGTTATTGCTGTTGTTGAGGTTGAGGGAGAAGAGATCGGTCTAAATTCCGGTTGGGTAAGTGGGGGGGATTCTCGGCGATGAGAAAGCGGGGACTTCGAAGCCGGAGGAAAAAGCAGCAGCCCCCCATCCCCACTTCTCCCGTCCCCGCTACTCTCCACCCGTGACCTCCCGTGGAGACCCCAGGCGGCAGCATCAATATCTGATCGGCCCTCGTCAGCGCGCTGCCAGCTCTGGCCGACTGGGCTCGCCAGGCATCGCCCGCGCGGCGCTGAAGCCGACGCCCGGCCCTGCACCGGGCTTTGGGAGGACCTTCTGCGCTCGCCCCCTCCCCGGCGTGGCTGGGCTTCCGAGTCTAGGCGCGGTGCCCACCATGCTCGCGCTGCTCTGCGCGATGCCCTGGCTCCTGCTGGCGGCGGCGCCCGGGCACCCGGCGAAATCCCCCAGGCAGCTCCCAGCACCGCGCCGCGACCCCAGGGAACCTGCCAGGGGCGCTGATTTTGACCATGTCTACACCGGGGTGGTGAGCCTGAGCACCGAGAACATCTTCTCCTTCAACTACACCAGCCAGCCCGGCCAGGTAAGACACTTGCTCCCCTCGCTCGACTCCTAGAACTTGCCAGACCTCAGAGCCACGTCGTTGCTTTGGAGTTCCCCGGGAATTGACCTTGGGAGACCTCGGGGACCGGGGGACGTTCGTTCCCTTTCTCCTCCAAAGCAATCACTGCTCGCGCTGCCGCAGCACGCCTTGGGGGCAACTCTGCTTCGCCTCGCGCCTCCCTGGCCTGGTCACGGGCATTTCTGGGCTTTGCAGAGCCGCCAGTTCCCCGAGCCGTCTGCGGGTCCTGGCTCCCTGCCGGGCCTTTCTCTAGGAAAATCCTGATTTCCAGGGCTGCGGGCTGCGGTGCGGAGCGCGCAGAAGGACCGAACCTCGGTTCCCAGTCCCCTGCAGGCAAGAACCCTCATTTCAAGTGGATGATTCAGCCAGACCCTTCTATTTCATAGCGCATGGGGAGGGAGAGATGTTCAGAATCTAAAATGGAAATTGTGTGAGAATGGACGGAAGCCGCAGAACCTCTGTGCATTCAATAGTCACTTCCTGCGTTTCTGTACCATTGTCACACGTATGTGCTTCAGAGACGCCAGAAGACCGGGGCAAAGATGTGAGAACTGCAGCCATGGGATGATCCATCCAGGTTCTGATTTTAAACACGGAGGGATGAATTTGTGAAAGTTCTAGACCTATTTTTGAAAAAGAGTTGAGGGAAGATTGGGGGTGGGGGGAATGTTCCAGAGACTATCCCTTTGACATATATACCCAGATTATATAATGTAAGAAAATGCATATAGTTCATTTCTTTCCTCTAATGTGGCACCTCTGGAGCACAGGCGGGGGGCGGGGATGCGGAGAGAGAGAGAGGACTCCCCAGTGTACCAACCTCTGGATCTTCTTCTCATATAAATGTGTTCATGTATCCTTTAACTATACCAGCATCCTCTACCCTCTAGAAAAATTCCAGAACCAGATGGTCAGGATACCATGGTATGCCTCCCTCTTTGATTCTCACTCCAGATCAGAACTAGAAAACGTCTCACATAGTGAGGGTGCTTTGTATTGGGCCGGGGGGACGAACGTGCCTAGCACTGCTCCCAGACATCTTCCAGCTCCCCGTTGTCAGGAAGTGCCCTGAGTGCCCCATCTCCATTCTGGCACCAAATCCTATGGCACTGTCACCATGGCAGCACAGCCCTCACCCTGCTCTGTCCTCCAGTAACCTTCAGGTTATGTGTTCCATAGTGAGCAGAGTGGCTATGTGCAGAGCCATTCCACGGTAGACAAGTGAAAGCCTGCAGTTTTTGTTTTCCAAACCCCACATACCCAACCTCTTTCTGCCTAGCGTGGGAGTACCCATCGGTCGGCTGACATATTGCACGGGAGGTGTGTTCCCAGTCCTGTGATTGGCTGGGAGCAGAAAAAAGTCTGAAAACTCCATGATTTCTGGAGTAAGTCTCAGCTTCCCCCAAATCATTGGTAAGAAAACTCAAATTACGTGGCCGACTAAATCCTGACATCAGGTTTTGGTATTTCTTGCAGTTCTACTTAGAGACAGACTATCTGCTTTTGAATTGTTGCTTTTACATTTTCCGCTTAGTATTTCGTTGAGTTTTGCACTTGAGATCACCTGCTTGACTTCCCTAAAACCTTCCTTAGCAAACTTTGAGATATTGAGGGCAGGGGCAAAGTCATGTTCATCTCTGCACACCAGTACCTAGCACAGAGAATGGCACATAAGAGGTTTATAAGCCAGGCATGGTGGCTCACACCTGTAATCTCAGCACTCTGGAGGCCAAGGTGGGAGTATTGCTCGAGACCAGGAGTTCAAGACGAGACTGGTCAACATAATGAGACCCTCTCTCTACAAAATATTTTTAAATTAGCTGGGTGTGATGGCACAGGTGCCTGTAGTCCCAGCTACTTAGGAGGCCGAGGCAGGAGGATCACTTGAGCGCAAGAGTTTGAGGCTGCAGCGAGCTGAGATCTTGTCACTTCCTTCCTACCTGGGACAGAGTGATATGCTGTCTTTTAAAAAACAAATTTCTTTTTAAAGAGGGTTATAAACATTTTTTCCAAAAATGAACAAGTAAGTGAAGAAATGGTTAAAATATCTTTAAGCTAAAGCTAAATAAAATGAAATGTATACTGTTTTCAATTCAATCATCTGAAAAATGTGAGATCATTTCAGACAAAAACATAAAAACAAATTTCTTGCTGGGCGCAGTGGCTCATGCCTGTAATCCCAGCCCTTTGGGAGGCTGAGGTGAAGAGATCAGATCATCCTGGCCAATATGGCAAAACCCCGTCTCTACTAAAAATACAAAAATCAGCTGGGTGTGGTGGCATGCACCTGTAGTCTCAGCTACTCAGGAGTCTGAAGCCGGAGAATCGCTTGAACCTGGGAGGCAGAGGTTGCAGTGAGCTGAGATCGCACCACTGCACTCCATCCTGGTGACAGAGCAAGACTCCATCTCAAAAAAAAAAAATTATTTTTTCTTTCATAAAACAAATGTGGTTTTTATAAAAACACATTTTAAAAATTGTTCTATTATGATGTGCTATTTTGTCTGTGTGTGAACATGTCCTTTATTTTATGAAACAGTTTTTAAAATATCTTTGAATGACATAATAAAAAGTTGACAACCCAAGCAGTCCCTAGAATGTTTATTAAAATATTACTAATCTGAGAAATACAAAGCTGGGAACCATGGGAACAGGAGATAACAAGAATTTCAATTATTTTAATGCCAGTATGCACAATAGAAACTAGATGTCCTCAAATCTTACAGCTTTCTGGGACCAATCTTTAATATGCAAATGTGGTAGTAGGAAATTACCCTCCCCTTCTCATCAGCCAGTATTTCTGTTGTTTTCTCCAGAGAAGACATTCTCTTGATCTGTCTGGCCAAACCATTACTCTTGGTTCCTACTAATGGCCTACTCTCTTCTTGGTTCTTTTTGTCCTGTGTTAGATACCAGCCGCCCCTTCTTGTAGGAACCCAAAGCTGTTGGATGTAGCAGAATTTTACTGAAAGTTTGGAATAACATAGAGGAACTACGTCATAGCACAAGATAGGTGATAGATTAAATCAGAAACCCAGGTTATGCTGTTCCCACAATTTACCACCAGGGGGATTTCAAGAGAGTGATGCTCTCTTTTAGGCGCTGGTTTGTCACTATCTTCTTGGCCATCCCCTCACACCCCCTCAAATGCTGACGCCCACCCTCTATACTTTTCATACTCTCCCATGTTGTGCAATTTTTGCCCATTGCTCATCCCCTACTCACTAAGGGACTCTGCTAAATGGACATGTATGATCCCAGATCTATGAGCTTTAGAGCAGAAGCTTGGACATGACTGCTTTTCCTTTAATCTGCACAAAGTCTTGATAGGGTAAGTCTTTCTGCCCTGCAGGGTCATTACCCACCTCCCCTCTTCAGTGCAAGAGATAATTTGGTTTAGGAAAAAAATGTCTAGTTTTTGAGCTTTAATCTTTTTCTTTTTCTTCAAGCCACTGTTGCTTGCCATTATTTTTCCTGTGCTGGGAGGAGAGTCTGTTCTAAGTTTAGGCTTAAATTCAGGAAGCTGTTGCGGGAGCCATTGCTCCTAATCTTGCCTTTCAGCCACTGTATCTCTTGTACCAAACTGTCCCAGAGAACTTTTAGCCAAGCTTATGTCATACTAGTTAGCTGAACTCAGCACCAGGAAAAGTCTCATATGCCTTCCAGGCATAGGGTAATGTAAATATGAAGTTGCCTTTAAAAAAAAAAATCACTCAGAGTATGGAGTGATTGCTTTAAATAAGAATGATGAAAATAACAATTGGAGGTGCAGGTTAGGCAAGATCCTGATTCGTTTCATTTCTCTGGAGGGAAGTGTCTGGAGACTCTCTTTAAGAAGAGAAGAGCTATACTGTACAAACAGGGTGTTCTGTAACCACAGGGCTCAGCCAGACTAGAAGGAAATTATCTTGTTGGGAAAGTCGCCAGGGATATGTTTGACTGGGACAGAGGGCACAAATGCAGGTTTACTGGGAAATGAGAATACCCTTGTAAAGACAGGTGGCAGCAACAATCAGATGTTTCTATTTGAGCTAGATGGTGATAAGAAACGCTTAAATAAAATCTAACCACTGTGCGACATGCTGGTTTCTCTGAGATTTTCCTGTAAGAATTTACTTTGCCATAGATTTTTTAATTTGAAATATTTCCCTGGAAATATTTCTTTTATTTCATTTATTAACTAAGGTGTTTATATTTTAATGATATATATTATACTTTTCCATGCCCAATGAACAACCTTCAGCTTTGTTAATATAAACCAGTAATTGTATACCTAGAACCAGTTAAACCAGTCTCTTGGATCCAGATTCAAAAAGCCTACCCAGTCCTTACGAACAATGAAATGCCCATGTGAATACTCCAGTGGTAACTTCTAGCTACATGCATTATAGTTACATGGAAGAATGTAAAACTTTGATATGATGGCCTGAGTTCTCCCTGTCTCCTATAGGAATGCTTATTCTTTTTTTTTTTTTTTTTTTTTTTTTTGAGACGGAGTTTCGCTCTTGTTACCCAGGCTGGAGTGCAATGGCGCGATCTCGGCTCACCGCAACCTCCGCCTCCTGGGTTCAGGCAATTCTCCTGCCTCAGCCTCCTGAGTAGCTGGGATTACAGGCAGGCGCCACTATGCCCAGCTAATTTTTTGTATTTTTAGTAGAGACAGGGGTTTCACCATGTCGACCAGGATGGTCTAGAACTCTCAACCTCGTGATCCACCTGCCTCGGCCTCCCAAAGTGCTGGGATTACAGGCTTGAGCCACCGCGCCCGGCTTAGGAATGCTTATTCTTTATATACTGAGACCAAGAAGCCTTCTCTGCTGTCCTCCCACGTCCTTTTGCTCAATTGCACTCGTGCTTGTTAGAGGAAAGACTCATCTCATTAGCACATTTTCTGAATGACTGAATTGTCTCAGTCCATCTAGGTTGATATAACAGACCACCATCGTCAAATCCCATGTCTG